TTGCAAAATTTGTATACTCAAACCCTCAGACGTAGGGGTGGAATTCACGCAGGTATAAGCTGTATTTTTCATTAAAAATACGTCAAAAGTACCTACTATTAACGAAAAGGATTTTCTCCAGAATTGCCGTTTGATTCCCGTCATGGTCCACTCAAACTTCCACCAATTTCTTCTGAAAAGACTCTTAAATTCCCCACAATTTCCTCTGAAGTTTCTACCAAATTTGACTCTTAATTTCTTCTTATATTCACTTCAATTTCCCTTAAAGTTCTCCTGGAGCACCTCTCAGATGCTCAAATTTCCGTCACGTTCCATTTCTTCTCAAGTGACTCTCAGGTTTTCTTTTCGAGCTAGTTGGACAGTGGCCGCTTTATCTTTCCCTAAGTTAACCTGTGTGATTATAAAGGTTCCCTATTTCTAAATTGTTAGTTCTATGCCCCGCGACAGTCTATTTTATTTATATCCAACTTTACTCCTTTAATATATACAGGACAGTTTCCATCTAGAGCCGAATGGTCTGTTTGTTGTAAATTGAGATTCGCCTCTTTCCTTAAGAGCTTTATAGCTCTTAGTACCTACCTAAATGACCCAATTTTCCCATTGCGGGTTTCTACATTTCCTTTTTCCCACTATTCTGAAAGGGGGTGGCTTCTATTTAATGTGCTTTCGACAAGCATGGCGTCAGTATATTTATTTTATTTATTTTTTATTCCTCTCTTATACATTGAAATAAAATAAAAAAATTAAGTTGATAATACTTGCTTTATTTATTAATTTATTATTCGTCTCTTATTCTGGGCCCTCAACAGGCTTGCGCCCAATTACAGAGTGACCCGCATAATGCTATTTAGAGGTGCCTCTGCAGAAGGTCTTAAGTTGGTCTATACTACTCCGGTATTTACCTTACAAATTAGGAAAACTGCAGGAAAACCTAATTCGGAGTAGCCGGTAGAATGCTCAGAGATGAGTGGCTTGTACCTTGAAAGTGTGCCAGACAGCCTTGAACTTTTGTAATCTTAAATTGGAGCTCCCCAATAAATTATTTACCGAGATGCTGTTTCTGAAAGTAAAACTTGCATAACTTTTACATGCCACAACCAATTTGACTCATACGCATACCCCTAGTGTACCAAATTAAATTTAAAAAAAACACGTTTTTACCCTTCGTGGTATTATGATGAAAGGTCTCGTCGAAAGGAATTGGAACTATAGCTTTCATTCGCGACTCCTTTTCGAGATCAGGGAGTGAAGGGAAGGGGTTGGAAATTGGTTTTATCCTTCATGGTAGGTATTCCGAAACGACACAATAATCTTGTAAAAAGTGCCACTAATGTAGGACAAATTCAATTTTGTTCATATCTACCAACTTTTTCAAGCGGCAGATGTAAGCTGTTGATAGGCGAAAGCATCAAAATTTGAAAACTTCTCTACCACCGAATTTATCGTGTTAACAGGGACAAACAGACAGACAGAAAGTACGATTTCAGAGAGCAGCACATGAACCTGCCAATAATATGCTATTTCTATTCGCCCCATTAAATGTTAACTTTCCCATTCTCGAAATTACATTCGGATTGTATCAGTTTCATTCCGAAACATGCAACAACGAATACGGTGCGAATATGTAACTTGAAAAATACACTGCAAGTTTTGTTTGAATTAATGGCCAACAGATCGATCGATCGTCAGAAATAGGACAGCCACAAGCAAGTATTAATGATTCCAAACTTTTCCAGAGGTATTCGTATTTATGAGGCAGTAGAAATAGGTTGGATTACTAAAGATGAACGATAATCGATTAGTCATTTAAAAAAGAAACGTGCCTCTTGACCGCATATCAAAGCCAAGGGCTACTTATATAATGTGAACATTTCTGTAACAATTTTTATTACCCTATTAAGGAAATTTAATTAGACCTTTAAGGGCGCAACGACTCCAATTCGCCAAGGTCGCTTCGTAATTGATGCCGTTTAACTTACTTAAACATTTGGAATAATAATCATCTAATTAATCCTATATAGTTATAAAAATGCGGTTAATAACCCTTCAGCATATTCGCGAGTTAACCACTATGGCGTGCGTGTTCGAAGGAGATATTCAAATAAACACGCAATTTTACTTTTTCGTACGTAATAAAAAAATTTTTTTTATTAACATGAAATAAATTTGGGAAGTTTTCGGTTCATAACTTAGTCTAGAAAAGAAGATTTAACAAATCAAGTTAGTAAAGGGGCTGCACGGGTTCTAGCGCAACTTCCGGCCAAATTACATGTAATTTCCCATAAGGAATTCTAAGGTTCGTTTGGGCTTTTTTTGAGCACTTCTGGTCAGTGCGCATGCGCGCTCCGCCCCTTTGCGCAGGCGTCATTTGGACACCATCTTTGCGCAGGCGTCATTTGGACACCATCTTTGCGCAGGCGTCATTTGGACGCCATCTTGGAATCCTCAAGTTCTTGGAATCCTCAAGTTCTTGGAATCCTCAAGTTCTTGGAATCCTCAAGTTCTTGGAATCCTCAAGTTCTTGGACGCCATCTTGGACGCCATCTTGGAATCCTCAAACTTCGACCCCTTCGTACCCTGAAAAATTTTTTTAAATGGAACGGATTCGAACCGCCAACCATTGGATTACAAGTCCTATAGCATAACCACTGAGCTAATTAGACTATTATGGTATAATGCTTGGATAGTTGTATTTATATCGAACCTCCTGAAATTTTTTTTTAAATGGAACGGATTCGAACCGCCAACCATTGGATTACAAGTCCTATAGCATAACCGCTGAGCTAATTAGACTATTATGGTATAATGCTTGGATAGTTGTATTTATAACGAACCTATTTTAAGGGTACGGAGGCGCCATCTATTGGCGTCGTAATGCATATAGAGGTATATTTTCAACCGGCTCCCTCTATTAGATTGATGCGACTAGGGTAGGAAATTGTAATTTCAGTCGTCAAGTGCGAGGTCCCTCATTCTAACCTAGTTCAGAGACACGAGGGGGCCCCATTCTAACCTATAACCAGATTTATATCGAACCTATTTTAACGGAACGGAGTCGCCATCTATTAGGATTCGTATAGGTATAGGAAAGTATAATTTCGACCGGCGCCCCGACATTGATGAGACATCAAACGGTTAGATACGAGGGTTCAGGAGAGAGATGCAAGGGAGGAGAATTCTAACCTATCATTCCATCTCGGAGGTAGCTCCTCCATTTGAGAGACATACACAAGGGGGCCCCATTCTAACCTACAACCAGAACAGGGGCGGGTAGGGAAATAAAACAACAAAAACAAAATGTAGGGCGTTTTTATTTAGATCTGAAATATCGATTTGAAGTTTATTATTACAATTAAAGCGCTTACTCTACTTACATAAAATTTGCGTCGAAGAGGACCGACGACGGCAACGCCCCTATTTTTTTGGATGCCGACATTGTTATTCATAATTGGAAATCCCCGCTCCGTTCTACACATAGGTATATAATTAAAACGTAATACATGGGGGGTTTTATACCTCGCTGGGTTTATCCCGCCGAAAATAATAGTAGTTTCTTGTTCTACAAATATACGGTTAAAACGTATAGTAATATACATGCAGGTTTACCTCGACTCCTCGCAAAAATGATTGCACATTTCTTGATCTAAAATAATAACTATTAAGTTGTGAAAGCAATATGAAGATGTTACTCACTCGACATTTGCAGCTAAATAAGCACGAATGTAAATGTGTTATCAGTTAGAGAAAAAAATAACCGCGGTTATGGGAGAGGATGCTGCAATCTCGCAATAATTCGATAGTATTTAATTATAGCATCAACGTCAGGAGCTGTAGATACCGATGTGAGCTATTTCGTAGGGTGGGGGAGCTAACCCCTAATCCTATCCCCAAGGAACTACCCCTAGTTTTATATAGTAGCTCTTAGGGTCTAAGGCAGCCCCCTGGTTTTTTATAGTAAGACGTAGAAGCTATCCTCAAAGAGAACAGAGTTCGCAGATGTCATTATTCTAATAATTGGTATGGGAAGTTTCAATCTTGCGATAGTGTTTATTTATAGCAGCGCGTGCTCGCGAATTTGATATGGTACTTTATCCCATTTCATTTCCATATCGACACCTATATACGGGTTTTATTGTGTATGAATGCGTAAAGTTCGAAAATTCGTGCATCCGCAATCCGATTTCAATAAGTGTGTATGTGGATATATAGACAGGTGGCTGCTTATATACATCAGGTAAGCCCTTTTTCAATTTTTGGTTGCTTATAATTTACTTTTCTTAGGGATACGTGTCCATGCGCGCATAATTTGCAGTTTAATGAAAAGCGTGACATTTTATTGTATTTATTCAGCGATTATTTTATATGGGCGTTTATAAGTAATAAGCTGACAGCAGAAAACATAGTCTACATCAGAGTTGGACCGTAAGTATCAAAATTATTTTGTAATAAAAAGCCTACATTGATATCTTTTTTAGCCGATATCAAACCTCAATGGAGGATTGCCTTCATCATCATCATGGTTAAACGGTCGCAAGCGCCGTAGCTTTATTATTATAATACCTATATAATATCTTAGATTTATTGATGGGAAGTAGGTAGAGGATAATGCCGTTGCGATAAATAAGATAACATTGTGAATATTATGTATTACACCAACTTTAGCTATATCTATATTAAGAAAAGGCTTATCATATAACCTTCATATCAATTACAGCTATTAAGAAAAGTTTCGTATGGGGCTAAATCAATATTTTTCTTGAATCAAAGTTTATGTGCCGATAATACCTGTGATAAGGCAAGCTTCTTAAATCAAATTGATACACTTGGGGGCAGCACCTTCATAATACGTGTAAGCATACGATTTAAAACAGATGTGTTATTAATTCCTGCAATCAAAGTGCTAGGATATAAATTTTTATTACTCTAGTTAGAATAGTGCTGTTATATAAACTCTCACAAATTTTGTTAATTTTTCTTGGATTTAAGTTTATATGGTGATAATACCCGTGCTAAGGCAGGCTTCTTAATCCCGAACAGGATAGAGATGGACGTTGGGTGGGAGGAGGTGCCTCAAGACTTGTTTACGGGAGAAAGGAAGCTAACTTTATGTACTGTTAATATCTATGATACGACACGCTTCTTAAATCAAATTGATACACTTTGAGCAGTACCTTCATATATAATACGTGTAAGCGTACGATTTAAAACAGATGTGTTATTAATTCTAGCAATCAAAGTTATAGGATATAAATTTTTTATAGCTCGAGTTAATGTAATGCTATAGATTTCGCTGCTGTTTAAAGTTTAACAAGTTTTCGCAATTTTTCTTGGGAACTAAGTTTATGTGCTGATAATATCTGTGATAAGGCAAGCTTCTTAATTCCAAACTAGGATAGAGATGCTTCTGGCGCCTTAAGACTTTTTACGAGAGAAAGGATAACACCGTATAGCATTATGGATAAATACCTAACCACTGCATCTTATTATTTTAGGTAAGAGCTTAGAACACGGATACAATCATAATCTATGCAGTGGGGCGGATAAGAAAAACAGAACAAAATTTAACAGGTTTATTAATTCTAGAAAAAAAAAAAATTCATTGAAGTATACATTATAATTGAAATGATAACACTTACATAGAACACCCAATAGGTGTGCTGGAGTTCCAGGTCTTTAAAGACCTGGAACCTCTTTCCCCGGAAGAGGGCCTCCTCCACTTTTATGGAGCCGGGGATTGTTCCCCGACCCCGTAAAATCGCAACATGTTCCTAAATAAGAGCTAATTAAAATACGGTATGATGCATGAAAAGTACTTACAGATCCATATTTTTCTATTAGATGTGTTCGGAGTTCTCGTTCTACAAATATATGGTTAAACGTGTGATAGATATGCGGTGTATTTACCATAGGCCGTTTGCACGCCTCCGAAGACGATGGCCGCACCTTGAGCTGAAAAATTACATACATTAAGTTTGATGAAAAATAGAAAAGAGCTCATTCTTACCCGCCATCCTCGTAACAAATGCCTATCAAACGATTTCTAGGAGGAGTTTTATTTATTGCTATCCATTTAGACAGGAAACCTGCACAGATTGCACAGCTATGTGACAAACGATGTCATAGGAAGCTTGATACAAAGGGGTATGCAGATAAACACGCAATAAAAATTTACATCCTTCACTCATTATATTCAATATCGCCATACCTGATATTATATAGGTAAAACATATACCTTATGAATATTACCTCGGTCTATTCAAAAGCAGGCTGTTTCACTACATCGACTATCGTTATGCCCTGGAGATGAGTAGATTTTAAATTTTGCTATAACTAAAGTTATTAATTAATAATTTAACAATTAGCCGCAATATCGAGTACGGAGGTTCGCTCGATATGATACACCCCTTTCCATGGCCACCTTAGAGGCAATAAAATTGCATTAAAGTAATTTTATTGGGGGGTGTTTACAGCCTCGTTATAGGATTCCCCATTAACAATTTCTTATATGCATAAAAAATAATTAACAGGCCTACCATAATCTGCTGCAATTTGTTTATATCGATTGAATATTTTACCTGAGGGAGACTGCACGAACGGCGCTTTCAAAATAAATTGAAAGGGTTCATTAATTCGTCAAGGGTTGGTAAATTATTCAAACGAGATAACAAAACTGCAATTAATTAATAAAAATTTGCACTTTAATCAATTTCCATCTGTTGAACATCTTGAGGCTTACTGATAGCATAATGGCCCCACGGAAGAGTATCAAATGTACCTGGGATTAAATATCTCTTATCGTCTTCGGGACTTAGAGCAATTTTCGACTGCGTTATCGAATATACCTGATGTTTATTGGATCGGATTAAATTTTGGGAAGTCGTTTTGCGCTTAAAGGTCTCCAGACACTCCACATAATCGTCAAAAGTAATTTTAGTCTCCACTACACTTTTCTTTATACCCTTTGCCTTCTTCATCAAACCGAAATTTTTAATAATCGTATCGATCTCATCCTCTTCATTCTCTTCCGCTTCTAATTTTTGCCGTAATTTTATCAAATCATCCTTGGAGGGTAAAACTTTGGTGGTGTACAGTTTCGATCGCAATCCTACATAATCAGTCATTATCTGTCCATTATTTTCATCTTTCATCATGCCCAACACTTTCTTATTTACAAGGGGTATGCCATATGGGTTATTGGGGTCATAATCGCTAGTATCGTAATATTTAAAACAGTCGTTTTTTATCGCCATATAAGGATCTTGTTCACGAATTTCATAAATTAAGCTGTCCGTATCTGTGTAAAGAACTGTGCAGTTATCTCCAAATCTATCCATCATGTAGTCATAATGGAAGCTGTAGATGGTCGTCTTGGCTAGATCAAGAATGGCTTGACCTACGTATATAGGCTTATTTAAATAGACTTCAAGCTTATTCAATTCTACAGCTACCAAGTTTTCGTTAAAAATGGCGCAAGATTTAAATTCCGGTTTCGCAATGTATGATTCTGCGCCGTAACGTCCTTTCCATTGCGTTAGTAATTTGATATTAACCCGTTTTCTGACATTTTCCATAGTCTTCCCAAAGACTGCGTTATTCATCAACTTAAACAAGTTCTTCTCAAATTCATTCTTGGCTTTTTTTCTTAGTTCTGTATTAAGGTCAATGTAGGACTTTAGCCAAGGGGACTGTTTAAATTTGAGTACCCTATGTACTTTGGAGAGAATTAGGCCATGGGCTAATGCTTGCTTCAAGGCTCGATAGTGGATGACGTATTTTTCTTTATTATTTAAGGTCGCCATGAGTTTTGAAATTTCCGCAGTTTCAGTTGGCGGTTTCATAGTCTTCGGGTTGATGTGTAATGCACAGAACGGTAAATCTGTGTGAGCGTCATGCAAATGCTGTGGATACTCCAAATCAACTTCTAGAATGTAGCCTTCATCTGCATCATCCGGAATCGTAGTGATATCGATGTTGGAGTCTACCCATTCAAAGCCTCCATATGGAAGATATTGGCTCATACTCCAGCCATACTGGTTATTGATATCGTTGTACATTAGATAGACATCCGGTTTCGTTGAATCATATTTGGGCATATATTTGTTGTTTGCATGAGCTCTTCTTTTAGAGCAGACTTGACTTAACCCTCCACGAATACCCCGCTCGACAAAGAGGAACATATCCTGGTCGGTAAGGAGTTCCAGCTCTTGTCGCGTGTATTTCAACATGGCATCCCAAGTAAAGCCTGGTAGTGTAAAATAGTGGGCCGGATCTAAATCATAAGTGCTAATACAGCTTGATCTAAACTGTTCAAAGACATCTGCAAGGAGTAGAATATCTGTCTTCATGTACAAGTCTACATATTGACCCAAGTTGCTGCAGTTAAATCTGTCCCACACCTCCTGAGCTCTACGATACATTTTTCTGGGACAGGGCTTATCTTCTAGCTTATTGTAGAAGTCATCTTGAGGAGGTAGAGTTGGCTCTTCGAAGCGGTCAAACGAGTCGAGGTAATCATACGGCATGACTCCTTTTTTAGTTAAAAGATTAAATTGATCCGCAGGTAGTGTAGAGAATTGCGCCTTGAGATTGGGAAATTCTGTCAGTGCTGACGATAGTTTATCTAGCCCCGACGCCATGAACCGGAAGCTATCGATAAACCTAAAGGAGACACGTGACTCATCGATATGTTTGGTGAAAGAGATATATTTCTCCTTGGTTATAGGGAGCAAGTCAATTTTGCCATCCATTCTAGTAGCAATATCTGCTACAACAAAGTGAGCATCATATCCACTCAAGTTGTGGAACACCACCGGGATTGTATGAGTATCCTGATAGTTGACGTTGCATCCCTCACATGCAGCTCCGCGGAAGTTGTTCTCCGGGATAAGATGATTGTGATCACGAACTTTCTTTTGTCCAGATTTAAATGACTGTTCGCAAATATGGCACTCCGTTGCTGCTTGAAATTCAAGCTCCTGCTGTGGAGTCATATGCATCTTGTAGGGACAAAGAAACACTGTAGATACATCTTCCGCAAGCTTATTCATCTCATCAGCAAACCATCGCATACTGTCCTCACCGCGGTAGCTGTTATAAAACGAAAGAGATTCGTCATATGAACATTTGAGGTAGTATCTACAGTGTTTCTTTGTCCCTACAAGATGCATATGACTCCACAGCAGGAGCTTGAATTTCAAGCAGCAACGGAGTGTCATATTTGCGAACAGTCATTTAAATCTGGACAAAAGAAAGTTCGTGATCACAATCACCTTATCCCGGAGAACAACTTCCGCGGAGCTGCATGTGAGGGATGCAACGTCAACTATCAGGACACTCATACAATTCCGGTGGTGTTCCACAACTTGAGTGGATATGATGCTCACTTTGTTGTAACAGATATTGCCACTAGAATGGATGGCAAGATCGACTTGCTCCCTATAACCAAGGAGAAATATATCTCTTTCACCAAACATATCGATGAGTCACGTGTCTCCTTTAGGTTTATCGATAGCTTCCGGTTCATGGCGTCGGGGCTAGATAAACTATCGTCAGCACTGACAGAATTTCCCAATCTCAAGGCGCAATTCTCTACACTACCTGCGGATCAATTTAATCTTTTAACTAAAAAAGGAGTCATGCCGTATGATTACCTCGACTCGTTTGACCGCTTCGAAGAGCCAACTCTACCTCCTCAAGATGACTTCTACAATAAGCTAGAAGATAAGCCCTGTCCCAGAAAAATGTATCGTAGAGCTCAGGAGGTGTGGGACAGATTTAACTGCAGCAACTTGGGTCAATATGTAGACTTGTACATGAAGACAGATATTCTACTCCTTGCAGATGTCTTTGAACAGTTTAGATCAAGCTGTATTAGCACTTATGATTTAGATCCGGCCCACTATTTTACACTACCAGGCTTTACTTGGGATGCCATGTTGAAATACACGCGACAAGAGCTGGAACTCCTTACCGACCAGGATATGTTCCTCTTTGTCGAGCGGGGTATTCGTGGAGGGTTAAGTCAAGTCTGCTCTAAAAGAAGAGCTCATGCAAACAACAAATATATGCCCAAATATGATTCAACGAAACCGGATGTCTATCTAATGTACAACGATATCAATAACCAGTATGGCTGGAGTATGAGCCAATATCTTCCATATGGAGGCTTTGAATGGGTAGACTCCAACATCGATATCACTACGATTCCGGATGATGCAGATGAAGGCTACATTCTAGAAGTTGATTTGGAGTATCCACAGCATTTGCATGACGCTCACACAGATTTACCGTTCTGTGCATTACACATCAACCCGAAGACTATGAAACCGCCAACTGAAACTGCGGAAATTTCAAAACTCATGGCGACCTTAAATAATAAAGAAAAATACGTCATCCACTATCGAGCCTTGAAGCAAGCATTAGCCCATGGCCTAATTCTCTCCAAAGTACATAGGGTACTCAAATTTAAACAGTCCCCTTGGCTAAAGTCCTACATTGACCTTAATACAGAACTAAGAAAAAAAGCCAAGAATGAATTTGAGAAGAACTTGTTTAAGTTGATGAATAACGCAGTCTTTGGGAAGACTATGGAAAATGTCAGAAAACGGGTTAATATCAAATTACTAACGCAATGGAAAGGACGTTACGGCGCAGAATCATACATTGCGAAACCGGAATTTAAATCTTGCGCCATTTTTAACGAAAACTTGGTAGCTGTAGAATTGAATAAGCTTGAAGTCTATTTAAATAAGCCTATATACGTAGGTCAAGCCATTCTTGATCTAGCCAAGACGACCATCTACAGCTTCCATTATGACTACATGATGGATAGATTTGGAGATAACTGCACAGTTCTTTACACAGATACGGACAGCTTAATTTATGAAATTCGTGAACAAGATCCTTATATGGCGATAAAAAACGACTGTTTTAAATATTACGATACTAGCGATTATGACCCCAATAACCCATATGGCATACCCCTTGTAAATAAGAAAGTGTTGGGCATGATGAAAGATGAAAATAATGGACAGATAATGACTGATTATGTAGGATTGCGATCGAAACTGTACACCACCAAAGTTTTACCCTCCAAGGATGATTTGATAAAATTACGGCAAAAATTAGAAGCGGAAGAGAATGAAGAGGATGAGATCGATACGATTATTAAAAATTTCGGTTTGATGAAGAAGGCAAAGGGTATAAAGAAAAGTGTAGTGGAGACTAAAATTACTTTTGACGATTATGTGGAGTGTCTGGAGACCTTTAAGCGCAAAACGACTTCCCAAAATTTAATCCGATCCAATAAACATCAGGTATATTCGATAACGCAGTCGAAAATTGCTCTAAGTCCCGAAGACGATAAGAGATATTTAATCCCAGGTACATTTGATACTCTTCCGTGGGGCCATTATGCTATCAGTAAGCCTCAAGATGTTCAACAGATGGAAATTGATTAAAGTGCAAATTTTTATTAATTAATTGCAGTTTTGTTATCTCGTTTGAATAATTTACCAACCCTTGACGAATTAATGAACCCTTTCAATTTATTTTGAAAGCGCCGTTCGTGCAGTCTCCCTCAGGTAAAATATTCAATCGATATAAACAAATTGCAGCAGATTATGGTAGGCCTGTTAATTATTTTTTATGCATATAAGAAATTGTTAATGGGGAATCCTATAACGAGGCTGTAAACACCCCCCAATAAAATTACTTTAATGCAATTTTATTGCCTCTAAGGTGGCCATGGAAAGGGGTGTATCATATCGAGCGAACCTCCGTACTCGATATTGCGGCTAATTGTTAAATTATTAATTAATAACTTTAGTTATAGCAAAATTTAAAATCTACTCATCTCCAGGGCATAACGATAGTCGATGTAGTGAAACAGCCTGCTTTTGAATAGACCGAGGTAATATTCATAAGGTATATGTTTTACCTATATAATATCAGGTATGGCGATATTGAATATAATGAGTGAAGGATGTAAATTTTTATTGCGTGTTTATCTGCATACCCCTTTGTATCAAGCTTCCTATGACATCGTTTGTCACATAGCTGTGCAATCTGTGCAGGTTTCCTGTCTAAATGGATAGCAATAAATAAAACTCCTCCTAGAAATCGTTTGATAGACATTTGTTACGAGGATGGCGGGTAAGAATGAGCTCTTTTCTATTTTTCATCAAACTTAATGTATGTAATTTTTCAGCTCAAGGTGCGGTCATAGTCTTCGGGCCTTTGCAGACGGCCTATGGTAAATACACCGCATATCTATCACACGTTTAAATATATATTTGTAGAACGAGAACTCCGAACATATCTCATACAAAAATATGGATCTGTAAGTACTTTTCATGCATCATATACCGTATTTTAATTAGCTCTTATTTAGGAACATGTTGCGATTTTACGGGGTCGGGGAGCAATCCCCGGCTCCATAAAAGTGGAGGAGGCCCTCTTCCGGGGAAAGAGGTTCCAGGTCTATAAAGACCTGGAACTCCAGCACACCTATTGGGTGTTCTATGTAAGTGTTATCATTTCAATTATAATGTATACTTCAATGAATTTTTTTTTTTTCTAGAATTAATAAACCTGTTAAATTTTGTTCTGTTTTTCTTATCCGCCCCACTGCATAGATTATGATTGTATCCGTGTTCTAAGCTCTTACCTAAAATAATAAGATGCAGTGGTTAGGTATTTATCCATAATGCTATACGGTGTTATCCTTTCTCTCGTAAAAAGTCTTAAGGCGCCAGAAGCATCTCTATCCTAGTTTGGAATTAAGAAGCTTGCCTTATCACAGATATTATCAGCACATAAACTTAGTTCCCAAGAAAAATTGCGAAAACTTGTTAAACTTTAAACAGCAGCGAAATCTATAGCATTACATTAACTCGAGCTATAAAAAATTTATATCCTATAACTTTGATTGCTAGAATTAATAACACATCTGTTTTAAATCGTACGCTTACACGTATTATATATGAAGGTACTGCTCAAAGTGTATCAATTTGATTTAAGAAGCGTGTCGTATCATAGATATTAACAGTACATAAAGTTAGCTTCCTTTCTCCCGTAAACAAGTCTTGAGGCACCTCCTCCCACCCAACGTCCATCTCTATCCTGTTCGGGATTAAGAAGCCTGCCTTAGCACGGGTATTATCACCATATAAACTTAAATCCAAGAAAAATTAACAAAATTTGTGAGAGTTTATATAACAGCACTATTCTAACTAGAGTAATAAAAATTTATATCCTAGCACTTTGATTGCAGGAATTAATAACACATCTGTTTTAAATCGTATGCTTACACGTATTATGAAGGTGCTGCCCCCAAGTGTATCAATTTGATTTAAGAAGCTTGCCTTATCACAGGTATTATCGGCACATAAACTTTGATTCAAGAAAAATATTGATTTAGCCCCATACGAAACTTTTCTTAATAGCTGTAATTGATATGAAGGTTATATGATAAGCCTTTTCTTAATATAGATATAGCTAAAGTTGGTGTAATACATAATATTCACAATGTTATCTTATTTATCGCAACGGCATTATCCTCTACCTACTTCCCATCAATAAATCTAAGATATTATATAGGTATTATAATAATAAAGCTACGGCGCTTGCGACCGTTTAACCATGATGATGATGAAGGCAATCCTCCATTGAGGTTTGATATCGGCTAAAAAAGATATCAATGTAGGCTTTTTATTACAAAATAATTTTGATACTTACGGTCCAACTCTGATGTAGACTATGTTTTCTGCTGTCAGCTTATTACTTATAAACGCCCATATAAAATAATCGCTGAATAAATACAATAAAATGTCACGCTTTTCATTAAACTGCAAATTATGCGCGCATGGACACGTATCCCTAAGAAAAGTAAATTATAAGCAACCAAAAATTGAAAAAGGGCTTACCTGATGTATATAAGCAGCCACCTGTCTATATATCCACATACACACTTATTGAAATCGGATTGCGGATGCACGAATTTTCGCACTTTACGCATTCATACACAATAAACCCGTATATAGGTGTCGATATGGAAATGAAATGGGATAAAGTACCATATCAAATTCGCGAGCACGCGCTGCTATAAATAAACACTATCGCAAGATTGAAACTTTCCATACCAATTATTAGAATAATGACATCTGCGAACTCTGTTCTCTTTGAGGATAGCTTCTACGTCTTACTATAAAAAACCAGGGGGCTGCCTTAGACCCTAAGAGCTACTATATAAAACTAGGGGTAGTTCCTTGGGGATAGGATTAGGGGTTAGCTCCCCCACCCTACGAAATAGCTCACATCGGTATCTACAGCTCCTGACGTTGATGCTATAATTAAATACTATCGAATTATTGCGAGATTGCAGCATCCTCTCCCATAACCGCGGTTATTTTTTTCTCTAACTGATAACACATTTACATTCGTGCTTATTTAGCTGCAAATGTCGAGTGAGTAACATCTTCATATTGCTTTCACAACTTAATAGTTATTATTTTAGATCAAGAAATGTGCAATCATTTTTGCGAGGAGTCGAGGTAAACCTGCATGTATATTACTATACGTTTTAACCGTATATTTGTAGAACAAGAAACTACTATTATTTTCGGCGGGATAAACCCAGCGAGGTATAAAACCCCCCATGTATTACGTTTTAATTATATACCTATGTGTAGAACGGAGCGGGGATTTCCAATTATGAATAACAATGTCGGCATCCAAAAAAATAGGGGCGTTGCCGTCGTCGGTCCTCTTCGACGCAAATTTTATGTAAGTAGAGTAAGCGCTTTAATTGTAATAATAAACTTCAAATCGATATTTCAGATCTAAATAAAAACGCCCTACATTTTGTTTTTGTTGTTTTATTTCCCTACCCGCCCCTGTTCTGGTTGTAGGTTAGAATGGGGCCCCCTTGTGTATGTCTCTCAAATGGGGGAGCTACCTCCGAGATGGAATGATAGGTTAGAATTCTCCTCCCTTGCATCTCTCTCCTGAACCCTCGTATCTAACCGTTTGATGTCTCATCAATGTCGGGGCGCCGGTCGAAATTATACTTTCCTATACCTATACGAATCCTAATAGATGGCGACTCCGTTCCGTTAAAATAGGTTCGATATAAATCTGGTTATAGGTTAGAATGGGGCCCCCTCGTGTCTCTGAACTAGGTTAGAATGAGGGACCTCGCACTTGACGACTGAAATTACAATTTCCTACCCTAGTCGCATCAATCTAATAGAGGGAGCCGGTTGAAAATATACCTCTATATGCATTACGACGCCAATAGATGGCGCCTCCGTACCCTTAAAATAGGTTCGTTATAAATACAACTATCCAAGCATTATACCATAATAGTCTAATTAGCTCAGCGGTTATGCTATAGGACTTGTAATCCAATGGTTGGCGGTTCGAATCCGTTCCATTTAAAAAAAAATTTCAGGAGGTTCGATATAAATACAACTATCCAAACATTATACCATAATAGTCTAATTAGCTCAGTGGTTATGCTATAGGACTTGTAATCCAATGGTTGGCGGTTCGAATCCGTTCCATTTAAAAAAAAAATTTCAGGGTACGAAGGGGTCGAAGTTGAGGATTCCAAGATGGCGCGTCCAAGATGGCGTCCAAGAACTTGAGGATTCCAAGAACTTGAGGATTCCAAGAACTTGAGGATACCAAGAACTTGAGGATACCAAGAACTTGAGGATTCCAAGATGGCGTCCAAATGACGCCTGCGCAAAGATGGTGTCCAAATGACGCCTGCGCAAAGATGGTGTCCAAATGACGCCTGCGCAAAGGGGCGGGGCGCGCATGCGCACTGACCAGAAGTGCTCAAAAAAAGCCCAAACGAACCTTAGAATTCCTTATGGGAAATTACATGTAATTTGGCCGGAAGTTGCGCTAGAACCCGTGCAGCCCCTTTACTGAGGCTCGTCTGATAGGTCTCGTAATATTCAATGGCAGCTTTTAAATTAACATATGAATAAAATTACGCGTAGTAAGCGCGGAAAACGCACGCATCTACGTCACGTGGGTTGTTACCATCACAGCGAACTTCAAACGTGTAGCGGTTCCACTTTGGCAAAACGAAAATTGCGTTGAAAACAAAAGATGCTGTTTTGCTATTGGTTTAAAATAGACGTCAGGCCCTAAAGTTTCGTTGGTTCCGTTATCAATTTGATATAAATAGCTGAGCGCGCCGCCAGCCGGGGAGATTGGTCGCGTCCTTGGAAGTATACAGATCGTACTCAATTACAAAAGCGGAATTACTCAGCGATCGGGTGGCCGATAAGCGACTTAACTGTGAGACGTGCAAGTAATTTAAACGATTGTCAATTTTAAATAATACGCGCCGCGGAATTAACCAGCACGTAGCGCGTTTATTTCTGCAGAAGTTACGATAATATAATCGCGAATTTAGTTTCGAGACTCGCGAAACATTTTTATTATTGTATACGCGAAATAATCGTACTGCGTAAATTGCGTAATTAATATCGACGCCGAGCTCCTATAGGGAAAACCAATTAAAGCACGTGGTTACCATTACAACGGGATAATAAAGTGAAATTGAAGTGTGCCTTGGGCCGAAGCCTACGTTTGTCAAACATTAGGTGTTTATTTGTAAACTCTTATACTAACACGGGTATGGTCAAGATCTTTGACGCGGTTAAGAAGGTGAAGTTCTATGATAGATTTTTTTATTACTTTAGTTTGCCGCTAGAGGTCATTCGAGTGTTATAGGTTTCATCGACGTTACTTCATTCTTTTGTCGCTAGAGTTCACGCTATATTTCTTAGTGGCGAATCAATTTGATTACACTGTTGTATAGAAATTTAGTTATTTGTGCCTGGATTACGTTAAAAATGTTATTTGTGCCATGTAACGGGAGGCTCTCTTTGTAGCTTATAATTTCACATATGTATTCATAAGTTTTATCGCGTAGTGAGCGCAAAGTAAGTTGTTAACGGTAAACGTACTCATCTAAATCACGTAGGTTGTTACCATAACAGCGCACCTTAAAAGCGTAGCGGCTCTTTGCCGAGACGACAATTGCATTAGAAACAAAAGATGCCGTTTTAGTATTGGTTTAAAATAGACGTCAGACTCAAAAGTTTCGTTGGTTCCGTTCTTAGTTTAATATAAATAGCTGAACGTGCGGCGACCCGGGGAGATTAGTGGCGACCAGATCGAGTGGTTACTCCCTATGAAAAGAAAAAGAGTGATTGTAGCCATATTTACATATAAAAATCGATTTACATACTATTACAGCCAACTACATCTCGCTCCAAATTTATAACTTAACTAATCATCCTGAAAACGTGTTAAGCGCTATATTGCTTGATACTAAGAGATCGCGTACTCAGAAATGACGAAGTTAAATTGAAAGTAGCTGAGAATTTTGAAGCTAAAATAACGTTAACAAAGAAGGGAGAATATTTCTCAAAATATTTAGTGATTTCGCAGCAAATTCCTCACACATTTCTGCAATTTAGCTAACCGCACGGAATTCCTTTCGGTAATTTTATAACTGCGACACTCTCCGCCTGTACGCTTGGGATATTCGAAAGGGTGAATAATAAAATTATTATCGCAATTCGATTCAAAATCCTTCGGAAGATTGATTATGCTTTTGACGTTTTAATATTTCCATATTCCATCCCGAAATCTGATTTATATCTCTCGAGCTTTGTATTTTATTAAAGTGGGCGCTTTCGTCGAATCGATATTTTGAAGGGAGCATTATTATAATCAAGCGCACCGGACATGATATCCCTTCATGGGTGTAATGGCGACAACTAATAGTATTAAGCCATTTCCTCGGCCGATTGCCCGCTTCGCCATTTAAACCCCAACCATTTTAATCTACAGGGGACACCTAAGAATCCCTTTACACATTACAGTTACTTCTAAATGTCGACCTCTAAAATTGCCACGTATAAAATCGAGAAAGATTTACGCGCCGCCATTTTCTTTCGGAATTGATCACTATCGGAACCCCTTACATATGATCATTAGGCGCAATTATACGAGTTTAATAATCATTTCGAAATTCCCTTTGGCGCTAATGCGATCGAGCTACATCTCCTCGCCCCGTCTCCTGAGTAATACTAAAATGTACTTCGGAGAGTTGGGACAAGATATTTGCAACTACGCGCCCGAAAGCCTCGAGACTGTTAAACAAAATAACAGCCTAATCGTCCACACGGAACCCGTCATTTCATTATTTTTACGAACACCCTTTATCTACTCACGACCTAAAATGCACACGTTTGCGCTGCTTCAAATGTCGCCATTACGAATTAGGTTAACCGAAACTATTACTGTTGCGGTTGAAGTTTCCTTAGGAACGCATGTCCTTCGTTTAAGATTTGTCAGTCACTGACACTCACAAAAACATTATACGGGGGCATTATTTAAAGTTATCTGCCTAGAAGCTCTACGTAATTCATATTGGGCAGATTTGGCCGTATTTTTTGTTTCGAAAAATGCGCATCACGTGATCAAACATTTCCAGACTTCTTACGACATAGAAGAGCCTGGTCGGGAAAGAATTTTGCAATGGGCATTTGGACGCTTTGCCGAAAGATCCTACAAAACAGGAAGCAGTGTAGTGGATTCATAAGGAATCTAGAAAATTACCACCACCCTCACGTCAGATTATTGAAATGCACACTTTTCAACACGTTGTCGACCCACCTTATTTTAATTTGACGCGTTCGAGTCAATCCCAAATTTGAATCACGCAACGCTAATTAAGATAACCGAAAAATGACCAACTACTTGCGGACTTTTACAATTCTACCAGACGTAATTTACTGGGAAATCCGACCCTCAAATTTTGAATCCAAATTTAAGAGCTACCGTTACAGTATTTCCTTCCGATGCACCATTTTGAATCGAATTTTAGTCACAAATATACCTATTGATGGGACCAAAACGAGGGTAAATACTTTATTGATAAACGTAGATAACAGTTGGGTCAAAACCTTAATCACAAAAATGAGCGCAAATGCAGTAATAATATTGTGACGTACAGACGTACATCAAAAATTAGAAATTCGAAGAACCGTATCCCCACTTAAGCCGAAATAATCGTAAAACATCCTCTAACCGCCATAAGAACACGCGCGTTA